TTTCCAGTGTCACTGCCTATGGTTGTGTGAAAACAAACTCTGGTAACAACAAGCCAAAAAAAAAAAAAAAAACACATTGATTAGAGAAGAGGCTCTGGTTGTGCATGGAGAAGACCTCGTACGCCTGGAGAACCAGAGGCAGGGGTGATTTTAGGATGCTTGCTGGGATCCTCATGCCCCTCGGTATTCCATGAGTTCCAGGGAGTGCTGCCGGCCACGAGCTCCCTTCCTTGTCGGGCCAGGCAGCGAGGGGGGATCCTGTGCCAGGGAGCGATCGCCCAAGCAAGGCGGATCTGAGGCTGGGAGGTTCAGCTCTGGCCTCGCTTGCCGCTGCCGTGCCAGGATGTGTCCTGCTGCGCTCTCGAGCTGCCGGCGACGTCTAAGCCTTGATGGAGATTGATTTTGCCTTTGGGAACCTGAGGGTATAAATTGTGCTCGTAATTGGCCGAAGCTGAACTGGGAGAAACTGCTGATGAGCTCGTCCTCTCGAGCGGGTGATGTGTTTCATAAGCCGCTCGGTTGGCCACCGCTGCCTGAACACAAGCGAAGGGAAAAGGGGGAGGCGAAAAGATGCCGCTTATGGACATGAATGCCTCGATTTAAACGTTGCATTGGAGCATTTTGCCATCTGCAATTAATACTTTAATTCCTTTCCCATTCAGAGAAAAACATAATTCCAGCCACCTAAATCCGTGGATTAGCGTTTTCTCAAACGCTTACGCCTCTCGGTCATGGGGTTGTTTTTTGGATGACAGCAGTAAAAACGCTGCCGAAAAGGACTCGATGCTGCTGTGAGCGGGGCTGGTTTCGGCAGCCCACAGCCCAGCCGTGCTGGGGAGAGCTGAAGGTGATGGTCAAGACTCAGGAACGGCGGGACCGTGGGGGTGGTGCTCAAAGGTCGGCCAGGGGGAGGTCCTCAGGGTTAATTGCTCTCCGGGTCTTAAGCCTGGTACTCGCCTGTCGCTGTGTGCTTAGCACACAGTGTCCGCGCCGGAGATTAAGATGAAAATATGTTGTCCTTGCTAAAGAGCACGCATAAACAACCCATAAATGGCCCATTAACCTACAGAGTTGCAATAAAGAGCATGAGGCAGAGCGAGCCACAGGAGACCTGTGACCCAGCAAATTCCCTAATTGGATTTTGAACCTTATCGTTTGTGCTAAACGCGACGATTGTGGGTAGAGCAAAACCAGAAGAATGAGGGGCAAGCAACAGAAGGTGGGGCGTGGGATGCAGATCCAGACCCGGTGGGCACGTTTCTGCCATCCGTCTCACGACGCAGGATGATTTTAATTATTTATGCTAATATTTGCTTTAAATGTGTTTTAGATGCAGATTTCAGTCCAAATTGCTCTTCTTGTTGCCAGGATGATTTTGGCCCGTGAGATGGTGTGTTTGAAGCTGTATTTTAGAACGGTTCTGCAAAGAGCATCTGTTAGACCCGAGTCAAGTGATCAGATACTCATTCTGCACAGCACAGATTCTCGGAAATGTTTTCAAAAAAAAAAAAAAAAGAAAAAATCTGTAGGAACTGTTGCTTACATAGGAGTGCTAGTTACCAAACAGGGTTAGTGGGTATTTTACAGGGACTAAATATCTGTAAGCTCATCCCAGCAATGTTTTTCTCTCTTCCTAAGAATGTAGGAAGAACGTAGGAATTTCTGAGGGAAATTACGGATTTTGTCAGGAAAATCATTTTGAATGGAAAAAGGCAAAAGCATTTGTGTAGTCCCTTGGGGAATTCTGCGGAATTCCGAGCGGCGTGTGGCTTGCATGACATAATGCCGGAGTCGCAGGTGAGCCGCGCGGCTGAACTTTGCTTTCCACTGGTGCGTGTTTAAGTCTCTTTGGTTTCTGTTTTGTACACGTGCCTGTAGGTGCCTGTTCTGTTTTGGCACGGCTGCTACGAGGGGCCATTCCCCAGCGAAGTCCAAGGGATGGGGGAGGCTGCGTGGCGCATCCGTGGCCACACGCGAGGACCAGCGCCCGTCTGCGGCACCGCCGTTTGTTGCGGGACCGTAATGTTGGGAAGCCCACAGGCTGAGGCGTGTAGGAGTTGGGAATTCACCCTGTAACACCCAAGGAAAACTGGGATCTGACAGACAGCTCTGTGAGGAAGGGTCTGGCTGCCAAGGACCTCAGTGTGGGGAAGAGAAGGGGCTTCTCTGGCCTCCAGGTGAGGAAGGAAAGGCCTTTGGAGCCCCACGCGCCAAAAAGAGCGGTGGGTCTAAAGCAGTGCAGAAAAACGTGCCCTCCCTTTACAGCCCACTGGGGCTGTAACTCATGCAACAAGACAAAAAAACTCAACAGCAGGAAAAATGAAAAATCAGTCATTTCATTGCGTTTTTCATATACCTTCAATAGAGAAATCCACTTTTGCATTCTGGAAACATCATCACCTAGCTGCTGTAGAAATGAATTTGCATCTGCTCTTGCTTAATAACACATGAAGAAAGAACTGAAAGTTTCTTTTAAAAAAAAAAAAGTAGTAGGGAAGGCAATGTTTCTTATCGGTTCCCTTTTTCACATTAGAAATTGAGATTTTGTTTACCTCAAAAAATCGATGGTGATTGGACACCTGGTGTAATTAATTATATTGCAGCAGGCAGACAGCTGATCTTTTGAAAAGAAAGGAGTTTTTAGCAGGACCGTCCAAAGTCCAGAGTCTGCTGCTTAACTCTCATGCTAATAAACATCCAGCAGAAAGGATGTCTTTCTTAAAATTTCACATGATCACACCTTCACTGTAAGCTATGCTACCTTAAAAAAAAAAAAAGAAAAAAAGAAAGAAGAAAAAGAGAAAAAGGTAGCCCTTAAGAAGTCCTCCATCACATCTCCTCTTGGAGCATAAGCTCCAGTTGCCATTGGGAGATGCAGTTATTTCTTGGCATGTGCACTGGGATATTTTCAGTACTTAGTTTTGAGTCACTCCTGTTGGCTATATTATTCTTGAACTATATTATTCAAGAATCTCCTATATTATTCCTCGATTGTTCTTGAACAGGACAGGGTTTCTGCTAGTTTTTCCTATGGATGGTTGCACAGCGGAGCTTTCCTCGTACTCCCATGGCTTCACTGCAGTTCCTTTTGCCTAAATGGGACCCCCCTTTTTTTTTTTTAACCTTTTTCCCCCCAACGGGAGCAGTTGTTGTTTTTCAGTGCATCGGTGCCTGACTAAGTGGCGCGGGTTGCATTCTTGCCTTATAGATGACACGCACGTTGGGTTAAATATTCCTGTGTTTTTGTGCTGGCAGGTCCGGGGAGGTTGCAGCCTGCTCGCAGGCCAATGGGAGCCGCGCTGGCAGGGAGGGGACAGGCGCCCATGGGATGCTGTCCCGGCGAGCCCCCGCGTAGCTTGGCTAAAACTGGTTTTACGTCATATAAAAAACGGGGGCTGAGGATCTCAGCTGATCAGAGTACGAAAGGTCCTTGGGCACGCACCATAGAGCATATTGGTTTTGAGCTCGATAGCTCTTTTTTTACAAGGGCTGCAAATTGCTGTAACATAGTTAAGGACTGGAGGAAGAGACAAAGTTTTCCTGAACTTTACTCCCAGCTTGAAGTTTTAAGGCGTAAAGTGAGAGGCAAGGAAGGGAAGAGAGGGCGATAGACAAACCCTGGCTCGCGCCCCTCCGTCCGCGCCGGCGAGGATGTCCAATGGAACAGGCGGCCTGGAGAAGGGGCTCAACGGACCTGGCCCCGGAGAGGAGCCGCACGTCGCTCGTCGTCGCCCAGGCCGTTAACCGCAGTATTTTCACCTCTGCAGTCTCCCCCGCTGCCGAACGCATCCGCTTCATTCTCGGGGAGGAGGATGACAGCCCGGCACCCCCGCAGCTTTTCACGGAGCTGGATGAGCTCCTGGCCGTCGACGGGCAAGAGATGGAGTGGAAGGAGACCGCGAGGTGGGTTGCTCTTTTCTCTACCTCCTTGCAAAGCCCCTGGGAGATCCCTGTGACCATTCCAAAGGGGGGTGATATCCATGGCCCTGGGCGGCTTGGGGGATCCACAGAATGGGGCCCTTACTGCTGAAATTACCTTTCTCTAACAAAAGATACTCTGCCAGTATTCCTGTAAAATGACACTCTGGTAAAACTGACATGTCAGATTTGTGTGGCCGTGTTACATCAGTAGAGCCAAACCACGTGTATTGATTTACTGTCCTTCGCAGCCACTACACTGTGTTGACTGGAACTGTCAGGAATCAGTGCCTGAACAAAACTTCCCCAAACAAGTTAAACCTACTTCCATTCTGTTGCCCCAAAGTAGATTCGAGTCTGACGTCTCCAGGTACACAAATCGGAAGATTTTGTTTGTGTCCCAGTCTTAAAGAGGTACTGATGAAATTCATTTTAAAAAGGTAAAGGTTTTTGCTTTTGAGGGGATTATCCAAGCTGTGTGTTGTGCCCTCTTTGAGTTTCTTAGTTAAGTTCTGCCTATAACTTTGGTGGTGCTGATGTAGGATTGGCTTTTTTTTATTATTATTGTTTCGCCACAAATTATCACTAGGCTATTTCTAAACCATGCAGAAAGAGCCATTGGATTGGGTTTATGCCCTCAAGATCGTTGTTCAGCCTCTAGGCTTAGGAAATTTATGTTTTGTCTTCAGTGAATACGTTTTAGGGGGCTTGCCTTAAAACGTAACCCCCTGCTTGCTGTGAAGACTGGAAATGTTCCACATGCAAGAGGGGCCCATCCAGCAAGCACTCCGGGGCTCTGCCTTCCCTGCTCCCCGTCTCCCTCTCAACTTCCAACTTTGCACTTTCTGTTTCCCTGTGTTGTGGCTGGGCTCGGCTCTCCCCCCACTTTCCAGGCTTAAGGGCTCCCACTGTGTTCCTCGTTAGCCCTTGTTT